TTGCATAATTGACAAATTAATCTAAGCTTTGATGAAAATGAACATTAAATAATATCAATGTAAAAAACACCATTAAAGGTTTCTAGAGAAAGTAACTATTCTAAGCTAACTACAAAAAATTCTAAGAAACCGAATACATGGATACATAATGAGAAAACAAACAACTTAAACTCAACTCATCACATATTAAAAAAACAACAAGAAAAAAAAAATATATGCAAACTTCAGCAAACAAATGTTTGTCTATCAATTCATTTACCCACTTGGAGAATGCCTGTTTAATGATAATCATTTATAGAACACACGCATTCGTTACACAACCACTTAATTATTATGTGCCATTCATCTTACAATTATAGTGCAGTTAAATTGTATATCACTGAACAATACAATAATAAAATGTAATAAGAAATCTGAAGAATTCTTGTGATACACTATTTTGCAACTATTTTGTATCACATAAATCGTAAAACTGACAAAAATATTAGAAGAATTAACCCTCTGATCTCTGCATTCCCAGACAATTTTAACCCTTCTGCCTGAGATCCTGAGTGAAAATTTGCAAATAATTGATATGTAATGTGTTGTAGCGTACCTACAGACAATAATGGGTATGTCCCCATTCACATAAATAGAGTAGTAAATACTGTATATTGGTCTGCGGTTTGAGATTCATTGTGGAATTCACTTAACTCACTTCTAGCAGTTGACTACTTCCTCTATGCGCCACTGGCGAATCTTATATGTGTTGTTCATATCCTAAGTATTATCGTTCATTACCAACCTTCATTTGATTATTCTATTCAGTAACATTCCCTAGGTTACAACATAATGTTTCACAGTAGATATAAAAATAGTTACAAAAAATATAAACATTAAACTTAGCAGGGAGAGAGTATGATTGCATGCCTTCACTTTATCACAAGAATTCTTTCTTTGTGTCCCAGTCTACCCAAATAAGTCAACCAATAGCAAAACATGATGCAAGTGTTTACCCACCGTTCAACTGGTGACTGGGCATTAAGTCATTTTTCTCTACCACTGGTAAAGCAGTGGTCAGGGTTCAAAGGGTTAATCATAAAAAGAACCCCCCCCCCACATCAATAAAATTTTATCAAATTTAGAAACAAAATACTGAATGTACTTCATATATAGAATTTTATTTTTAAATGACAATATGAAGTGAAAGATGAAAGTGTAAAAAAATAAAAAAAAAAAAACCTGTCATGCAAAGAATAAAAACTTCTTTGATATGGCTGACAAAAGGTGAATTGATTAAAAACAAATGAATGTCCTTCAGAAAATTATGAATCTGTCTCTTTTCCACACTGCTATGGGTTAAATAGTAAGGCTGGCAGGGCTCTCTCGGCTTACAGTTTAGGAAATGAAAATTTTGAATTCAAAACAATGGAGAAGATGCCATGAAACCTTTACAATTTAGAAATATTAAACAAAAAGACACTTTCAACTTCCCAAAAATAAAATGATCTCTAAAATAAAAGAAATTAATTTATAACTGAATTTATCTTTTTTTAATCATTTCACTCCAAGCAAGGCAATAAAGCCACTAAGATGCAAGTATGAAATTAAGAAAAGAGAACAATAAAAGAACAGGAATTAAGAAGACAAAAATAATATAATAGAGAAGTGAAAGCCATCTTGCTTGTCTGAAAGAAGACCGTGCAATGCGAGATGCTTAAACAATTCAGAATTAATTTTAGCCTCTAGTACTTTGCCAAAAAGTAGTAGTAGAAGGCTAATAAACCAATAGTTGGAAAGATCAGATGGTTCATTTGAGTTCTTAAAGACTGGAACTACAAAGGAGGATTTCTAACAAGCAGGAAAGCAAGAAGCAGCCAGGCATTAATTGTACAGTTTAGAAAGACCAGGAGCCAGTTCAGTAACACATTTCTTTAATACAAGTGCAGGGATACCATCAAGCTCACATGCTTTGTAAGGTTCCAATTTAAAGACAATATCAGAAACCCTGGACAGAGTGTATAGTGGAAAGTCAGACAAAGATACCCCAGATGTGTCAAGAGTAGATATGGAAGATAATTTACAAGCAAAACATTTTGCTTTATCAGCAGAAGATGTTAACACCTCAAACTGAGTGAAGAGAAGAGAGATGGAATACTTAATCTTATTTAGCATACTGTTAGAGTGCTACCAGTAGTCATGTGAACCAAAATTGTTAGAAACTATATGGTGCTTCATTCTATCAGTGAAGTGTTTTTGAGGACATGTTTATAATTATTATGAGCAGACACAAAGAGGCATCTATTTGATCAAAACTATCATGTTGATACTGCTGAAAAAAGTGATTCCTGTGGGCTATAGCAGCTGAACAGGTAGGTGTGAAGCAAGGCGAAAATGAAAAAAAATCTTTAAAAAATTGAATTCTTTGTCAAAACCTAGAATGACAAATAAAGTTTTTTAAAATCCCAAATTGTTTAGAAAGAAAAAGTGAATAGCAAAATGTATCAATCTTGTCACTGACCTTTGACTGTAGATAAGCTTGTATGGCCAGCAATTCATTGGCTCTCTGTTCTATTAATCCCAAGTACTGGATCATATTCATTTCAGTTACTCCAACAGATGAACCCAACATGTCTGTGATTGGTGTGGAATCACAAATAATCTTCAAAAAGATATCCTTTACAGCTGAAAAGAAAATAAGTTTAGGAAATAGAATATTGAATATATGATGATTCTATTATGGTAAACATGCCCAAACATGCCCACAAATGTTTTGCCAACAATTCCAATAAATAATATAAATAAATAAATAAATAGTGTTTAATATTTTTGTTGTAAATTATCAAGAACAAAAAACATATAAATTCACTTTCATCATGTGTCTAGCTTTTATTACAATTGAAATCATTGCTTTTTAAAACAATCATTGAAATCATTGCTTTTTAAAACAATAAACATTGTCAAACAGGGAAGATAGTTAAAATAATAGCAGTATTGGGGAAAAATTATCCTTTTGATGCTACATCTTATTACGGTCATGTTTATCCACGTTTGCCAAGATTTTATCAGCGTTTAGTGGTTGGGGAATGCATCAGAAATAAAAAAAAGATATTTAATTTACAGATCACAACATCTATCAGAGAGATATAATTTAAATTTTTATTATTGCATAATTCCAAAATTTGAACACATCAGCAGATAGCTATTAATGTCAACAAATGATCACAAATATTTATTAATTAAAAAAATTAGTAATTAATGTATAATATTATCCATAACTACATGTACAAGAATGTCGTTTTTGATAAAAGTTAAAAAATAACCATAAATACATAAAAAATGCGTATATTGACGAAAATTCCTTTTTCCCCAATATAGATATTTGTGCCATGTTATAATGCTTATTACCTAAACAATAATAATACTGAATAAATATTTTTTAAACATTAACGTATATTTAATCACATCTCCTTAACAGCTGTTACAATCTGTTAATAATTTATTAAATCAAGGAAATTTCAAGTTTATTTTTTTAATTCATGCCTTGAAGAATTCTACTCAGTGTAAAAGGAGCAAAGCAAGTGATGTAAATAATTGAAGAATTAGAAAACAAATATAATGAAGAGACTTCATCTTTTGTTCTCTTCTTGGCAGAAAATACAAAATAGATTAAAATGTTTCTGTTAAAAAACTTTAACTTATTGAAGAGTCTACAGAAAAATAATCAGTAATATTTACAATGTATTCTGTTTGTTTGTATGTGTGATTGTTACACATTTCTACTTAGGATCAAAGTGTAGTATATGTAACTGATTTCTGGCTCTTCTAACCAAGAAAACAGAAAGAAATTGGAAAATGTAAGGAAGAGAAAAAAGATGAAATGAAAACTAGAGAAAAATGAAAAGAAAGTTTGTTTATTTTACCCACAGCAAGGTGATAATGCCCCAAAGATGCAAAAGTTTTATTAGGAGTGAAAGAGAATGAAAAGACTTTAGTGAAGAGAAAGGACAATTAAAGAACAGGGTTCAGGAAGACAGAAGATAATGATTGGCATTGCGTAAGTAAAAACTAAAAATCCATGGACATTGCTATATAGAGAGTGGGCAATTAAGTAGAAGCAAAAGAAAGAGAGATAAGCTTAGTAGCTGGATATTAAGAGGCAAGGAAGATAAGATTAAAAAGTGGGTAGAGATGGAGAGGCTTGAAAATTGCAATACATGAAATGTTTTTAAGGAGAGATAGAGTAAACGAAAAATAAGAGAGAGGATATTTTTCGTTTGCTCTATATCTCCTGTGATGGTTAAATTCTTTGTGTGACTAACAATGCAAATATATCAATAGGTAAGGTTTTAAATTATCTCAGAATCATTTACAATAAAAGTAATTTGAAATTTTAATTTAGAAATTATAGCATAGAAAATAAAATAAAATTATCAACCTGACTTTTTCATCAACATTCAGTTTAATGGAAACCTTTTTCTTCAGTTTGTTTTCATGATTCAAGACTTGATTTTCTTGTTTAGTAGAATTTATTTTGCAAGTTTCAAGGTTTTGTTTCCTTCTAACTAAATTGACTATTGCTTGAATATCTATCAATTTATTTACCCTTAGTATATTCTATAGTTAAAAAGCATGCCACATATTAGGTTGATAAACAAAACACATTATTCTCCTTTCTAACTTCTCTAACAGATTGCAAATTGCTTTTCTAAAGAAATTAAATCATACAGAAGTGATTGAATACAATTCATTAGGCTCATAATAAATTTGGTGCTCATGTTCTCACAAATGCGGATGTAAAAACATCTGCTTCTAATTATCAATTCTTTATTATTTTTAAATTCATACATAACAGCTAAACTGGCAATGAAAGACAATTAAAATTCAGCAATTAATCCTTTGAGCCCTGACCACTGCTTTACTGGTGGTAGAGAAAAATGACATAATGCCCAGCCACTGGTTAAACAGTGGTAGAGAAAAGGGACTTGATGCCCAGCCACCATTTGAAAGGTGGGTAAACACTTGTAACTATTTTTATATCTACTGTGAAACATTACATAACAATTATTTGCAAATTTTGACTCAGGAGTTCAGGAGGCAGAAGGGTTAAAATTGGTCATGAATGCAGAGTTAAAAGGGTTAAAACTCAATCAAATAGAAACAAACCCTCAAAAATATTTGTTATAAATATTTCTCACTTCTTTAAATATTTGTTAACATTTTCCACTAACATGAAGTGGAAATATTATATTAAATCAATTGCTAAGTCTGCTACTAGGAAATTTAGTTCACTGTGACATGCTAGACAATTTTTCTCACCAGAATCTATTTTACACATTTATAAGTTCATCTATATATTGCATATTGCTATCAAATCAGGTCTGATGCTTCTGCTATATATTTAGAGGTTTTTGATAAAATCGAAAGGAGAATCTGCAATATTATTGGTCCTGAACTGGCATCTTGGCTACAGTCACTTTCCCACTGTGTTTTTCTATAAATATTTTCATGGTAATTATTCTGGTGAGCTTTCCTCTTTGGTACCTCAACTTTACAAAGTGTAGTGCTAGATTGGCAGCTAGATCTCTTCTTTTTAACATTGAAATTGCTATATATAACCATAAATTCTATGCTAACAGTTTTGTTACTTGCACTTCTTGCTTGAGGACTCTCTTCCAGCCTCTTGCTTTTCAATTAAATTTAATCTTCAAAAATTTAAATACAAATATTAATCATTATCTTTTGTCATCTTAATTCCTATTCTTTCAATTTTTTTATCTCCTTAATAATCCTTTTCTTTTTCTCATATTCTTTCACACACACTTACCCCATGCATCTTAGTAGCTTTATTGCCTTGCTTGTGGTGAAATGAAAAAAAACAAAGTTATTTATCATTCTAATAAATGCATTGTTAGATCATTGAAATGTTTCAGAATATCTATTCTACGATTGTTTCGATCATCTCACTGAAATAAGAAGTACGTTTAAATTGTTTATAAAAAAACGTTTACATATAAAATTTTGTAAATAAAATTTTCAAAAATATAACTCTTGTAGCATGAATAAAAGAGTTTACCAATTTTTAATTGATCAAATATTTTGGTAATTTCTTTGATGAGTTCATTTTTGGCATTTTTATCTTTTCGAACTTCTAGCTGCATTTCTTCCAATTCATTCAAGATTCTTCTGCGTTCTGAATCCAGCTGAGCACCTTGGTTTTCAAATTCTTCAATTTCATTTTGAATCTGCAAGTGAAAAGTGAAAAAGACAAATTAATAAATTTACAATGATTATCTTCATTTCAAATAATTTTCCACAGAAAATTTAACTTTTTTTATGAAATGTGGAATTTCACTGGAAAATATGCATACCACATTTTATGTACTGAGAGAAAATGCTGAAAATGCAGAAATGATGAATTTTTTCCACTTTGTCATTCACTTGCCTGCCATAGTTCTGATATATAGAAATTGTGTGTGTGTGATTGGCCATGATTAAAACACCCACAAAGTCATGTAGGTTCTAAATGTTTTTATCTGAGACTGAAGGATGTGATGTTTTACGACAAGCAATAAAGTCTAGAAGTAAGTTCTTTAAAGCATGATTTAAAAACAGTAATTTGACTTTGCTAACCAGCTGCATCATCTGCAGTGAAATGGTATACCATATCAGGCTATATGATGGTTCCATGTAGGATACAGGTTCAATTCCTATCAGAGGACACATGTTTTCTAAGAAAATATCCTAGGTCCCACTCTATTCCTTATCTACATAAATGACCTTCCTGACGCAATAACTTCCCAAGTTGGCCTCCACGCGGATGACACCACAATTTATTCCTGCCAAAAAACAAATCTAGTCTCGTTGAAAAAAACTCGCTGGCCGCAATTTATTCGAAAAGGACCTCCAATCGATTGCAGAACTGGGGCATGAATTGGCTGGTCAACTTCAACGCTTCTAAGACAAAACTGCTCTCTATTAATCACCACAGAGATCCTTCCCTTCCCTCCATTAGAATGTCTGATGCTCAACTTCTTGAGAGCAACTCTCTGCAGTTTCTCGGTCTCATGTTGACTGCTGACCTGAGATGGAATAAATACAGTGAGTCAATTGCCTCGTCCACTGCAAGGATAGTTGGCTCCCTGAGCCACACTAGGAAGTTTTTCTCCCCGGAGTCAATCCTCCAGATCTACAAATCCACAATTTGCCCTTGCATGGAGTATTGCTGCCATATATGGTCTGGTGCCCCTTCTGTTTGCCTCGGGGTTCTTGATAGGCTCCAGAGGTGGATATGCAATGTAGTTGGCCCTGCCCTGGCGTCTCGTCTACAGTCACTTTCTCACAGATGCGCCGTCGCCTCCCTCTGTCTGTTCTACAAATACTTTCATGGAAATTGCTCCAAGGAGCTGCATTCGCTGGTTCCCAGACGTCATGAGTTCCAGCGCCTAACGAGGCTGGTATCTCGCTCTCACCCCTTCACTGTCGAAACTCGTAAATGTAGCCATCTCTTCTACTCCAATAGCTTCATGTCTCGCACCTCTCACCTGTGTAACTCCCTTCCCTATTCTAGTTTCCCTGAGAGCTATAATCTCCAGCTATTCAAGTGTAATGTCAATCGACATCTCCAGTTGCCTTGATCTATCCACTACCCTCATCCTTTCTTCTATCACTCCTATCTGATCTTGCTCTAAATTTTCTGTAACCTCTTGCATCCTAGTGGCTTCCCGCCTTGCTTGGGGTGAAATGCTTAAAAAAAAAAAAAATATATATATATATATATTGGCCAATTTTGTATTTTGGTATTGATTTGGATGCTGGACATTTGAAATGATCTAGCATGACATCATACCTAATTGCTATTGGGAACATAATACTCAGTATCTTATAGAGAAGTTAGAAAAGTATAATAAGAAATTAAACAAATAGACCTTGTCGGTTCTGTTTACTTAAAATGTTTCAATTAATACTTGTTGCTTATGGGGGTGCAATGGGTAAATTGTCGGCATTTTATATTTTTAATTTCACCCATGCTCATTTTTTGTTTTGGATATGGTTGACTGCACAGTATAGTGGGGTCAGTTGGGCACCATCTGTGACAAAAAGACCACTATAATGCAATTCACTCTGCCAGAAATTTGGAAATGGCATACTGTTCTGCTTGGCATTCATGCCAGAAGCATCAATACAAACATTTCAGAATGATTGGGTGTCAATCTGAGGACAGTGCAGAGGATGCAGAAAGAGTTTGATGAGTCTAATGGTGATTATGAAGGTGTTTAGAGTGATCACTAGTGATGGCGACATTATACCTCCATCCATCTTCCCACAGGGCCTCAGACTCAACATGAAGGCCTACATCAAGTGGTTTGAAGAGGAAGTGCTGTCCTGCCTCAAGAGTGTGGCTGGTGGAACTCCCTAGATCTGGTAATGGGACTCTGCACTATGCCACACAAGCATGAGAACCCAATCATAGCTGTCAGACAATTTCTGCAACCACATCACCTCTTACATCTGGCCACCTATCTCCCCAGACTGCAGCCCCCTTGATTATTATGCATGAGGGGCAGTTAAGCAAGACACCAACAAAATTCCTTGTAATACCAAAGATGAAACTGAAGGCAAGGTTTATGGCAGCATTCACCAACTTAAACAAGGAGAATGTCTAGAAAAGTTGCAGGAGATTCCAAAGTTGTCTGGTGATTTTACTGAATTTATTTATTTTTTAGTATTTCAAGATATTTTTGTGTAATTTTGGTAAATATATTTGTTAAAAAGAGATGTCAGTGTTATTTTCATTTTTGCATAATTTAGATGACAATTTATCCATCGTACCCTGTATATAAGCAATTGTATAAATATGTAAAAGGATTTGATTTTGATTCAAATGCATGTTTACTATTGCTGTGAACAGTAAATTACAGAGAGAATGTTGTTATAAGTAGAAATGTGTGGAGAATAATTACTGATTGAGACTAAAATCAGGAGGACACAACATTTATACAAATAGAAAAAAACATATTTTGTTAATCTAACCTCTCTCATTTGATCACGTAGCAATTCAATTTCATTGTTCATCTCATTCACATAGTTGAAGAGGGCAAAATTTCTGTCTTCCACTTCTATAAATCGAGGCACATCAAGGTCAAGATTGTCTTCTCCCGTCATTTCTTTGATCCTCTGCACGGCTGCTTCATATCGCTCCACCGAATCTTCTTGACTCTCCATTTTCTTCTCGGCCTCTAAAGCCTCTGAAAACATAAATTGAAAATTGCAATATTCAGAGACCATTTCTGGTCACAAAGTTTGTTTGCCACTGGAATGTTTCAAAAATATTTACAGTTTGAAAATGGAATGTAAATTTTGGTCATTCATTTTTGGTGTTTTGCTTACTTTATGCATTGTTATTTTTCTGATCTTTTGGCAGAAAATGAAGCCAAAAATAATAACCAGTTCTTCACTAAACATTTTCTTCAATGTCAGCAAAGAAAAATTTTCAGAATTTGTTTCTTTATACAAAATTTAGTTTAAAAAATTATTATTTTTAATTATTATTAGAAAAGTCATTATATGCTATGTTAATATGAAAGTTATTTCATTATTGTGTTGGCTTTGAATAAACATGTTTTTATTGCAAAATCATTAATGGTAAGCTGTAATATTTATGATTTGTTACTGACACAGAAATGGTTTGAATGTTTATTTGAATGTTGCTTTCTACAAATACTTAATATTTCTTTCTGCCAAAATTTTATTTTAGAATTGGGTTTCTTTTTAACAATTTAAAATATAAATCAAATTACATACTAATGATAAATTTAATTTTTTTTACAAAATTATTTTGCAACAAAATGCATCATTTATCATTGACCTTTTTTCTGCCTCCAAGCCACTAACTGTTGATCTTCAAGCCGTTCTCTTCCCTTGAGTCCCATAAAATCGCGCAATTTTCTGTCATGGTCAATGATTCTCTCAAGTTCCTTCATCTCTGCATGATACTGCTGAATGTCTTTTTCTAATTTCTCTTTCAATGTACAGATTCGGTTCTGAGCTTCCTCTCTGCAACAGGGAAAAGGCCATTTATTAATAGAAACTCCATTTTCTTATGTCAACTGGACTTTTATCTTGTCAATTGTACAGGAAACGTCCAAGAGCTTTAATCTTGAATTGACTGACACAAACAATGGCTTTTGTCATTTAAAGAACTTTCATTAAATAATCAGTAATTTTCCAACAAGGAATCATTTTTTGGATATTATTCAACTGAACATAAAAATTTACTTTAAGTAAATTTTGTTGTGTGCAGATTTCGATCAATAGTTATTTAAAAGAAAGAAAAAAACAAAGAAACTTATTCTGTCTGAAATTTTTAAATGAGGAAATGATCAATTTTCATAAGTTGATCTATTCAGCCAGGTATCCTCACCTTGTTTGTTTTAGTCACAACATTTCAGCCTTTTTACTCTTCAATCCATGCAAAAACATCTGGACCAATGGAAAAAGCAGATGATATCACAAAAACTAATTAACACTGAAGAATCAATAAAAGACATGTGAATGGAAGAAAAATTTTGCTTCAAAATTCCTTAAAGGTTGCCAACTGCACCAGATACTTGCAGAAAACTTGTAACTATAACAACCAAGATGAGGATTCTAGTCTAAACAGTGTGATGCATAATAATAATTACTTTAAAATTACTGAATACAACAGACTCCTGAAGAAAGCTGATGTCTACAAATGTCAAAATATTGTGACTATAACAAACAAGGTGGGGGTATATGTTTAATAACAAACAAGGTGGGGGTATATGTTTAATAACAAACAAAGTGGGGGTATATGTTTAATAACAAACAAAGCGGGGGTATATGTTTAATAACAAACAAGGTGGGGGTATATGTTTAATGACAAACAAGGTGGGGGTATATGTTTAAGCAAGTTAGTGAATAATATCAACTTCTCATTAGTAAAATAGTGACATCTTGATAGGATTTGTGAAAAGAATGACATCTTTTTGGTGATATGAGAGACCTGTAATACTGGCTGGTTCATAGCAAGAAGCAATTAAAAAAGGTAAAATGGAACAAGAGAATCTTTCAAAAGGATGGTATGTAAAACCTTGGCCAAATAATTTTTCTTATTTAAAATAAATGTTTCTTCATTTCTGGATTTTGTTTTTGTATATGGTTTGGGGTCTTTTTTAAATGTTTTGAACTTCTTGCATGGAGGTGAATGATTCTGTTCTCCTCTTATATTGCTAGGCATTTTGATTTTTGATTCTTGTAATCCAAATGTCTTGTGTGTGTATATTTAAGTTCAGCTGGTTTCACTTCCTGTTTAAGTTGGTGTACCCATCAACACCCTTTCTGCCCTTGGTAGCATTGAGGTCATCTCCTGTGGCTCCTAGGTCTTTTGATATTCTGAGGTGACACCAAGTACAATGCTTACAGTGATATTTCATAGGGGGAACCGACTTTATATTGGGGTCACCACAGGTCAACTCTTCTGAAATAAAAGTTCCTAATGGATTTGAAAATAAATTCAAACTTTTGGTATTTCTTGGCATGAGTCAAATACGAAACATGAATGCAATAATTACACAGCATGCAAACTAATTCAATGTTAATCACCGCTCACTGATTAAACCCACCAGTGAGCACCTGCTCACACATTCAGAAAAGTTTTCTCTATTTGGTTAAATTATGAGGTAAAGTCAAATTGTGGTTCTCCATATATTTAATATGGTTTGACAGACATTGTACATGCATATGCGAATAATGCATTTAAAAATAAAATAAGATGAATGAGCAGTCTATTTTAAATATGAAAATTAAAAATTGTTACAAAGATATAGAAATATCAATTGTTTATTGAAAGTTGTTAAAAAATGTCACACCTTGCGTTGTATGCCTGGGTAGAGCCTTCAATTAGTTGCGAAATTTGTTGTCGAATTTGAGCATATTCTTTTTCTAATCTGTGGTGCAGTCCATCAAATTTCTCTTTTTCTGTACGCATGGAATCAATATTTTGCCGAAGATTCCTGTTTTCTGTTAGCTGGTGGTTGAATTTTTTTAAAGCCTGCAATATGGAAATAATTCAACAGAAAATATTGTCTGTCAAATGTCAAAAGGCTAGCAGCAAATAATGAATCATTGCATCTAATTTGCAAAAGGAAATTTGTTGCTTTTACATTCATGTAAGTCAATGAATATTGCACTCAGTAAAAAATATAAATATATTTTATAAAAACATTTAAACACATCAGCTCAGACATGAACAAGATTAATGAATAATACAATATATATATATATATATATATATATTCATTCATGAATTAAATAAAGAGAGATGAGCAACCATATATGCAGGCGAATACATTCATATACAGATTTACAAATAAATATTTATTTAATTTTTGGTGCAATCAAAACAGTGTTCAATGTAATGTAACAGAGCTATAAAATATATATTAATAACTATATTACCTATGTCAGTTGTATGACTCAGAGTTTCAGGTACTAATATTTATGAACAGTAAGAAACGGTTGTTTTAAAAAAATTCTGGGTCTCATGGTAGCGATGCTATATTGGATATTGATTGAATTTATAAAATCATTATAATTTAATATTTTGGTAAAAATGCAAAAAATAGTGTGTTAGTAAGAAAATAACGTAAAATAAAATAAAACGGAACAACAAAAAAAGTCCGTTAAAATATAAATGATCAAGCAATCCAAGGGAAGCAACTTTGTGCATTTGAGGATTGTAAAGAAGAAATAAGGCAAACGGGGGTGGGGGGAGAAAAACAGAAAGAGAAGGAAAAGATAAAGAAGAGGAAAGATAGATAAAATTAAAAGTAGAATAAGAATTAGTATAAATATAAAAGAAAAAAAATCAAATGAGGAAAACTAAAAAAATATGAATATATAAACCCGAGGTATGGGTTTAGTTAATTGATATGGTCATTTTCAAAAACTATGGGTCTCATGGAAATAATGTTATCCTGTATATTAAATCAACTTGTAATATTATTATAAGTATAATCTAATATTGGGGTGGGGGGTAAATGCAAAAATAATAAATAAATTAAATAAATGCAAAGCTAAAAATAAAAAATAAAAAGAGGGATGCTGAACCATAGAAAGTTCTATTAAATTTGAAGGTGGTAATGGTCAAAGGGGAGTAACTTAATATAAAAATAAGGGAGAGAAGAAGAAAGAATGAAGGTAAAAATAAATTAATATATATTCATATTTTGTTAGTTTTCCTCATCTTATTTTTATGTTTTATATTTATTTCATATTAACTCAATATTAAAATACAATTCTTTGTCTTGCCAATATAAAGGATCAAGATAGAATGTGTCTTTTGGGTGGGGGAAGTGACTTGGAGGATGGGGAAGTCAGTAGGATCTGGTGTTGAAGTTTGTGCTGAGTTGATTGACCGAAAACATTGGTGGAATCAGTGATTTCCTGCCTATTGCCTTGAGTGTCACAAGTACATCCCTTTAACTAGAGTCAGGGTGGATAAATTACTCAGCTGTTTTTTTTTGTCATGCTTTTGCTTTAGCAGCACATTTGTGATTGGCACAAACATTTAAATTCTGTTTTATATTTGGGGGTGGGGGCAGATTTGTTTTGGGAGCTTGATGTGATACATGGAGCCCCCCCCCCTGCACAGAGAATAACTTTATTATTTTGAATTTTGCTCTTGTATCATTAACATCTGGTCAATAGATTTTAATCAGAAAGAGATCTAATTTGAAACAGAGATCTAATTTGAAGTCAAGTACACATGGCACAGTGAATAAAGGTGTTGGTTAGATCCAGTGATATGACCCAAAGAACTTTCAGAGGGAAATTAACAGGAGATAACTGACATCCATTAAACATGGCACGTGAAACTAGAACAGTCTACCCCAGTGAGCGAAATAAAGGGTTCAGTTTGATATTCCAACCAACTGAAGAAAGCCGCAGCATACAACGGCCGAAACATTGTAATAAATATGGCGACAAAAATAAGAACAATAGTCTGAATAATGTAAATAGTGTTTAATACTTTATATTGATACATTTGATTAATTCAGAATAAGCAGATTTTTAGAGGCTAAAAATATTGTGGCACTAGATATAAATTTCACACTATCGTTTATAGCATAAATATTTTTGATTTTAATGCCAATCCATAGAAGTAGTTGAACAAATTTATTTTTCAATTCTACTTTTTGCCATATCAGTTTGGTTAATTTGGGCACTTTGAGGCAGTGTAAGGGTTAGCAAGTGTGTCTCGTTAGAACAATTAAAAATGAGTAGTGCATTCAATCCACACTAGGTGCCCCCTACTTTCAGCCTTGTGCCACATCTAAGCTGTTTGAAAAATCACTATCAGTTTGGTTAGCTTTTCATAAACATTTGTTTTGAAAGTCAATGAGCAAGAATTGGCTTTGCTGTGAAAAAGGACAAAAAGTAAATTCATCAATGTTACCTACTTGGTCCAATCGATTCTCAAGCACCCAAATCTGTTTTCCTGTGACGGCTGAATAAATTAAACTTTTTTGTAACCCCCCACCATTAGACTGTTGTTCTTCTTTCAGTTTCTTGCTCATTACATTGATCTCTTGTTCCACAGAATTCAAATAATGGCGTTGCTTTTGGATTTCTTCTTTGGTTGTATCTAGAAAGGAACAAAAGATTCAATTAAGATAAAAAAAATTGATAACCAATTTTGTAGAGTTCACTCATCAACAAGCGGACAGATTTGCCATTATTTTAGTGTCTCTTCAAAACTTCTAAGAATTGTTTTTTACATTTCCACAATTTTTCAAAGCTGAAGACTATTATTATTTTTCATACCAGAAAGAATCACCTGCCATTTGTCACATTAAATATCACATAAAATAAAATGTAAAATCTGAAGCCATAAAAGTTCAGAATATTGGAAAAATACTCATTACATTAAAAAGTGGCTAAATTCATCATTATATATATATATATATATATATATATATATATATATATATATATTATGCCTTTAAATTCTTTGAGGAACATAAGGCTGCAAGATATCGTTGTTTTCTGCAACAAGACAGTATTTTTAAGTGAGTAGGTTGTTAGTCTGTCGCACAACACCCAACCTGGAGGATCAGGTTTTGAATTCAGAGTTGTCCTTCTCCTAGACTAGTTGCCATCCAAGGCTATAGAACCCAGTCTGTCCTGCTATTTACCTATAGCTGAAGGCAGAAGAAAAGGATTCATACCGTTCACAAGTGTATTAACACATAAGTGAATATAATGGATTCAATTGGAATTCAAACTCAGCTCTTCAATTCCTCAATCCAAGCCGCCATCCATTACTCCACTGTGCCTCCAAATTGATCATTACATGTGATAAATGCACACATTTTTTAAGAAGCGCTAAATTACAGTATTCTAACCAATATACTTTGTCTTTCAATGATAATTTTAACAAGTAAAATCTACAATGATTTCTGCCTTTTTATGTCTTCATGTCAAAGCCATTATATTTGCTTTCTTATTTGTTTTGTATGGCATTCACTAAAAAGAATGATAGTTACTTATAAACTAATAATAAAAATGGTATTAAATTCAAATGATACATGTCACTGAAAGAAGATTTAATTTGGGATGTTATGGCTTCTGCTAAAAGTCACTTGGAACAATGGCGATAATCATCACGATTTTTAGCTTTTAAACAAAGTTCTCGACAATGAATTCACCATGAAGACCATCACTGTAGCTATATCAAAGGCCTTGGGAAGATGCTACATAAACTGTCCAGCTATGAAATCTCTAAAATGTCTTTCTCAATTATCAAGTCTTTCCTAAAAGGTAGATTCATGAAGATCATTTTTAATGGTCAGTCATTGGAAGCTCATGAGATTAATGCTGGGATTCCTCAAGATTCTCTTCTTGGTCTGATCTTCTTTCTGTTTTATATTAATGATCTACCAAAGAACATATTCTTATCTTTAGTGAGTATCTATGTGGACAATACAACAGTGTTGGATGAACTGCTGGCTACTTTCAATGAGGCTACCCTTCCCCATTGATCAAAAATACAATGCTTGGTGTACTGTGTATGCAGGAGAGGATGGCTGGCACAAATCTGAGAATGTCTGCTTGCAAAAAATATGGTTGTGGTGGTGGGATTGATGGTGTCTAGAATTTGCTTATGTAAATGATTCATGTCATTTATATTAAGATTTTTCTGGGCTCAATATAAATAGACAGAGTTTCTGTTTTGAGAGTTTGGGAGTTTCCAGTATTACAAGTGTACAGAACATCATGTTTTCTGATTTCCTGCTTTTTTTTTCTCTCTTTCTCTTCCCCGGTTGTGTTTGTCCCTTGTTTGCACCATTCCTGTGTCAAATGCCGTGGATGTGTCTCTGGTTTTGTTTTGTCTTCTTTTGTTTGTATTTGGTGCTGCTATTCATTCCATCCTTCCTTATTTGTGTTCCAGCAACTATCAGGGGGACAACTGAAATCCACGTTACAATTTTTAAAAGTTTGAGACAGATCGATCATCTCGTTTTTCAACCCACAAAATTTCTCTTTACTAGCTTCTCCTTTAGCCTGGGCCTGAGTCACGGCATATGAAGGAAATATACAAGGGTTCTCTTCCTCAATCTTTTCTGTTTCTGTCAAGGTAACCGGTTCTAGCGCTAACTTGGGATAGATGGTTATCTTCTCACCAGCTAGCTTCTTCCCTAACAACATGGATATGACTTTCATAGGCAGCCTGGGAACAACTCCAACAACAATAGGTTGTGACACTAAGTCTGACACAAGATGAACTCTGTGTAGAGGGATACTAAGAAAATCATTACTGATACTATAGACAATCACAAATCTGCCCATGGCCAAATTTGACCCAATGCAGTAAAGAATTTTTCAAAATTAGGGAATGCATAACTCCCATATCTGAAAATATCTTTTATGAGTAAACCTTTTAGTGAGAGTATCGTCCACAAACAAAACACATCCATAACACACAAATGGCCTGTATTCCTCTCTAACATCATTATCAATGGATATTCTATCCGACACAACTTGTTTAGACCCTGAAGTTTATTTTAGCTTAATGCTCTGGACTAATTATTTCATTTGTCAGTTTGACACAATATGCCTGACTTTGTTACAGTATTGGCACCATTGAGAATTTCTGATTCCATCTACTTACTTGCTGAGATCCTGATGATTGGAAACTACCTTTTTGCAAATTTGTTCCTCTTGAGTTTGTATTGGTGCTTTTCTATGAGTTAAATGGCTGATCAGGACAGTATGAAAAGTCTGACTTGGGATATGAACCAGAACTAGACCTAGATCTTGGTCCAGGACCACTTCCAGGTTCAACAGAACTGCTGTAGTTTGGCTTGTTGTGCTTATGTGTTAAAGCATATTCAGCAACAAGTGTGGCCATTTCATACGTGGTATTTACCTTTCTCTCCTCAACGTATGTTTTGACATTATCAGAGACATACTCTTTTAATTCTTTCATTAGAATCATCTGTCTTAATTTATCATAGTCAGCTTCAATATTTTTTGACTGGCTTTATCTGTCTGGAGGTATGGTGGGGTAATGGATAGTGGCTCGGATTGAGGAATCAGAGAGTTGAGTTTGAATTCCAGTTGGATCCATTACATTCACTTATGTGCTAATACCCTTGGGAAAGGTATGAATCCTCTTCTTCTCCCCCCAGCTATGGGTAAATAGCAGGACAGACCAGGTTCTATAGCCTTGAGTGGCAACCGGTCTAGGAGAGGGACAAACTCTGAATTCAAAACCAGCCTGCAGAGGTTTGGGCTCCGTCAGGCTATCTTGCCAAGAAACACCACGTCTACTGCGGCTGCAGGTACTAATTCATATATCTTAAGGATGAATGATTTAACAGGGTTGGAGCCGGCTACTGACAGGGCAGCTTATATTTTCTGAGCTTTGCCTTTAAGCACCATTTGTAGTAACATGGGCAATTCTAAATTTGTAGTAACTTTTTTTGAAATGTGAAAAATACCAGTCTACTTAAGCTTCATTAACATTTGATAGTAACCTGCTTTGCTAAGTCAAATTCATTCCTCCTCACTTCACTATTAATCATTTCTCCTCTTTTTCATGGAATCATGTCTGTTGCCTAATTTTTACCTTTTCTATTTCAGCTTCATATCTAGCTTTTCCCTTTCAGCTTCTGTACTAATTCTAAATTTCTCCAGTCCAAGTTGAGCTTGGGATAGCTCTTGTATTTCTACTGGTACTTGATTTAACGTGTCCTCATTGAAGACATCGTTATCTATCGTATGTTCCATAATCACTCTGATTAGTTGTGCTTTTTGCAGAGACTGCCTTACATCTAATTCTAAATTATTGCCAGTTTCCAGTATCGTTTTTAAGTCTAAACAACTTTTCTAAGGAAGGTGGCTTCAAGAACTATTCTATTACCAACATCTTGATTCGCTGCTCACTGGCACACTAATATGCCTATAATTCTAAGTGAGCAAATCACAGACACAAGACCCCAATTTTATACGTTACAAATTTACAGGTTCAAAAAAAGAAAATGTTGTTTCAATTAGATAAGAACACACAAACAGTTATTGATGAATAACAAATACAAGATGAACATTTGTATATAATTTTATATAACAGAAAACAACAGAATATGGGAAGAGTATGGGATGACATGTAAAATCAATAAAAGACACTCATACTGGGTGTTAGTTTTTTGTGTTTCATGACTTTGTAAGTTTAAATGTTCATAATGGTAAATAGACAGAGTCACTGTAAAATGTCCACATAAAAGTCAGAAGTTCTTCTTTCTGCAATATAAAAGACTCTGAAATAATGCTTGTATTTCATTTCCCTTTAACCAAATTACATCCAAGGTGAAGTTGGGAGGATTTCCCCAGGTATAATATTCCTTTATTCTCTACAAATCAAGTAATCCAATAAATCCATGGTCTTTGGGAATAATATCTTTTTTTTTTATTCACTACACATCAAATAGTTGAACAAATCCAGGATCTTTGGGACTGATATTTCTTTATTCCTTACACAAGTAAAAATAGAATAAGTTCATAAGTGCAACTCTCATGATCATGCAATGAGAGTCAATTTTCTTGTAATCTGTTGCAGTCAAAAATTATTGGGAAACTGAAATTACAATTCAAAAATCCCTTGTGTTGGTGTATGTCACATGAGCTTGGGTGACAGGCTTTTACTTACTCCTAAGGAGGTCAATCTGTCTTGTTGTGAAATGACAGAAATTCTGTCCTGCCATTTCTTTGCCCAGACAGAAAATAAAAGAAAAGAAAGAAGAGGAAACAAAAAGACAGCGTGTCCCTTCATAAATTGATCAAATGTCTGATTTAATATTCAACATTGAGGGCCATGTCAGAGTCTGGTAAAAGTAAAATGGTTTAAACATCAAATAAAATTATGTGCACATCAGGAAGCACAGAAATGGTAAAACCTGAACACATGGAATTTTACATCATTTTCTATTTAAGATGTGATGATATACATGTGTGTTTTCAATTGGAAGAAAGATATGATTGTTGTCAATTATGGTTCTAAGTGGAACAAGAAAGGATTTCACTAAAACATAACAGATTTGAATTTCTATAGGGGTTTGAATTCAGCAGAAGTTTAAATTTTCCAGTGGTTTGAATTCTATAGGGGTTTAAATTTCTGCAGTAGTCTGAATTCTACAGGCATTTCCTTTTCTGTAATGGTTTGAATTCTACAGAGGGTTAAATTTCTACAGGGGTATGAATTTCTGTAAGGATTTAAATTTATGTAGAATCTTAAATTTTTGTAGGATTTTCTATTTTTGAATTCTAGAAGGATTTGAATTTCTGTAGAGGTTTGCATTTCTGCATGTGTTGAATTTTTGTTGGGGTTTTGTGCCACAAAAATCTCTGACATCTCTGACAATTAACTTACCTTTTGCCTCAGCAAGTGTCATTAAGTGATCAGAATTCTTACAATCTTTCCTGTAGTTTTGCAGACTTTCAGCCAAATGGAATTCTTTCATCAATTCTTGTTGTTCTGCTTCCAGAATCGAAATCTCATATCTGAAAATATTTTCCAAGATCAAAGTGTCTGCAATGTTGAAATATTTAAAATATAAGAAAAGAGAAAGTGAATCAACTGAAAGATAGGTTGTTAATAAATATAATTATATTAATATATATATATATAATTAGACAATTAGAACAGGAATTAGTATGTTAGGCAAAAGGTAATAAAAAATATTATTAAGATTATAGTCAGGGCTGGCATGTCTTACCCCCAAAATCACCGACCAGTGGTGGGGGGGTGATTTTTAGAGTCCTGTTTGTGGCCTCTGCCGTTGTTTTTCCAGCAATGTTTTATGGCCATTCACCATTTTTTTAATTATTTTTAAACTGACATTACATTATCAGTCATCGACTAATGATATACATCATGCATCTGCAAGGGCAGGGGGTGGTGCATACTACGCAGGAATCCCTGATGAGGTTAGAACCTCAAAAGGTTTGTTTCAGCAGTGATTTTTGCTTTTTGTACCTTTTACTTTTACTTTCTACCAAAGTTATATTGTCAATAATAATCTATAATAATCGACAGGGCCACGGTGCTTACTACCCCCAAACCTCTCAACTGCATGGGTGCCCCATGCCTACTTTGGAGGGGGTGTAGAAGGCCTATTTTCAGTAGTGTTTATGTTTTTAAATTGTAATTTTCTTTCTGAACAGTTCTTTTAAATCAATTAAGAGGGGAATATTTCTCGGCAAAATCATTTTTTGTTACACTAAGGAAGATCTTTGATTTTGTTTCTAATAATAATTCTAACAAGAAGTTCACAGCTGGTAATTAAAATAAAATTTCTATTTTTACATTTCTAAAAAGATAAAACCAAGAAAATGATCATTTAAAAAATAAAAATGTTTAAAGATTTCAATTGATGAAAAATTTCTTGAAAACTGAAATACTATTTTTAAAACAAATATTTAAGACAATCCCGTTTGTTTTGTGTTGGAATCTTTGTAAATATTTTTTTTTTCAGCAGAGATGTATTGGTGATTAATCTTTATGGAAATGTAAAAATTTGCATCTTAAACATATTTCTAAGTAAAATTAAATCATGAAAATATTGGTGGTTATTACAAAAAGATTAACATTTTCTCAGATTTTTTAAAAAATAAAAAAAACCCTATTCATTATAAAAGTAAATAATTAATGAATATTTACTGAAATTATCATTTAAATTGGAAAATTCCATGATTTTTGGTAATTTAAAAAAATTGCTGCCCTTCTCCCTCAATTTTTCTTTGAAGGTTTGTGCCCCCCCCCCAGGTTAGGAAACTTTGAAATAGACATGTAGTAGAGAGGGGCACCCTGTATCAGTCTCTGGGTTGGGGAGAACCTAACATTGACCCTGGTTATATATATTAGGCTTAAAACAATGACTTTTTTTACAACTTAATTTCTTTTATGAATCTTTTCTATTTTTCATATGAAATGCTAAAACTCTGCTTGTTGTGACTTTTTTAAAACATTTAATGAAATTGTCCAATCACAAATGCTTTGTCATGTAAATAAATAATTTCTTTTAGTTTGATTGCTTCACTTGTGTTCTGTGTTTTTCATTCAGATCAAGAAGTCAGAAGAAATGCTCTGTTTCACAGATATAAGTAAATTGTATATCTTTAACAGTAAAATATGAATATCATATAATGTTGCAACCATTGACCCATTTCAGAGATTTTTACACACATAACTGAACAGATGAAAAATAGAAAGGTGAAATGGAAAAAAACAAAAAAATATACAAGGAAAATCCTAAAGGTTAGAGCCACAAAAATAAAAGAAAAGATTGCATCACCAAAATTCAAAACAACAAGGGAATTTCAGAAGAAAACACTTTTATTTCAGACTAGCAGTAGAGCCCGGCATTGTCCGGGGATGTAACAGTAAGAGATAGATCAAGTATCGACCATCATAAAGACTGAAAAATAAAATTGACAAAGATTATTGTTTAAGGTTGACAGACACGCATGTCTTAATTAGTTTTTTTTTTGTTTTTTTTTACGAATTGGTCAAACCCAAACAAAAACATTGTTTTCAATCATTATGAGTCTATTGATTGAATAGAATTTTATTATAAACAATTGTCTTGTAAATGGAATTTTTAAAGCATTCTGAATGCTTTAAATAAAGAAAAAAGTGTGCAAGACAATAAGAAACACTACCTGCCAAAAAAAAGTGAAGTTTTGTTGAAATCGGTTGAAAAATCTAGGAAATACAATCCCATATATAAACGAACACACACACACAAACAACCTGGGTTTTATAATAAGTATAACTTGATATGAGTTGTCCCCCTTTCATTCTGGCGACAGAATCGTGTTTTATCGTGTTTTCAAATTGATTTTGTTCAAAATCAATTGTGTTTTTCCAATTTTTGGCACTGTCAGAAACACCGCAAGGTAATTTTACGCAGTCCTGTGAAGTTTTGCTGAAAAATGTAGGAAATCCGATCCAATATATAAACGTACACACACACACACACACACACACACACACACACACACACGCAATCTGCGTTTTATAATAAGTAAGATCTTCAGGAAACCATAATGCCATTGTCATAATAAGTTTTTATGAAATGTTTCTATAAGAAAGAACAATTCTCATATTCTGTCTACTTCTACCGCCCGGTCAACACTCCTCCCCCTTCCCCTGGACATACGCAGAGGCTCACACCTTGTTTCCTGACTAAGAAGGGGTTCCCGGTACTTTCTCTCTCTCTCTCTCTCTCTGGCCTCTGTACTAGTACTGATGTGTTTCTCCCGTGACGTGCGCAGTCTGTGGCATTGCCCTGTTCATTTTGAGGGTACACGGTTGACAGTTCACTGGTTGCTGTTTCCGACTGGTAGTTAGGAGCTTTTAACTCTTTTATGTAGCGTCTTCAGCGGCTGCTCTGATCAACAGTTGTATAATACCGGGGTGTTTGTAGTGCCATGACGCGCATGGAACGGTGTCCCTGCAGTCACCTTCGGTGGGCAACCCTGAGGCCACATTATGATGCAGGCTGTGCCAACTCCTCTCTGCTCATGTTGCGGTCGATAACCATCTGCTTCTCTTACTTCAGGCCTTCTCATCTTCCAACAATTACTCCACATGAAGACTCAAATGAACCAAAAAAGTAAACCTAAACCAGCCCCTCAAAAGTCACCTAAACCCCTCAACATTTCATTCTCCAATATCCGTGGCATTAGAACAAACTTCTGCAGTATGGAATCTTTCCTCACTGCAAACTACCCGGATATACTGGCTCTGTGTGAAACAAACCTTGTCTCGTCTATTCCCTCCTCTGATCTCTCGATCCCCGGCTACCTTCCTCTCCTCAGGAAAGACTCTCTAACCCACATGTCAAGGACCATCTCCCCCTGGCCAGAGAGTTGTCTCTCGAATCGCCAGACCTTTCGTACATGTGTTTCCGACTATCTCTCCTCAATGCCATAAGCTATCTCTTCTTCCTCTATCGCTCTCCATCCTCTCAAGACTGTGGGATATTAGATAACATATCTGACAGCATAGACAAGGCCCTCTCTCTCCACCCGTTTCCTTACATATTCGTGTTTGGTGACTTTAACGCCCATCACACCAAGTGGCTCGAGAATGCTACTACTGACCGAGCTGGCATTCAAACACTTAACTTCTCAATTTCTCAATCCCTCATGCAGATAGTTGACTTCCCCACGCGTTTTTCCCTCAACCTGGCAGGTAAGGCCTCTCTTCTCAATCTGTGTTTTACCTCCATCCCCGAATCTTGTAGCGCCACACAGCTCTGCCCGCTTGGCAACTCTGATCATGCGCTGTGGTATCTGTCAACATTTCCTTCAACTCCACACCCCGCAAAGAACCTCCCATCACAAGAACCTCGTTCTACCATCAACGAGCGGATTGGGACTCGTTCCGTGACTTCCTCCGCGATGTCCCCTGGGATGTTGTCTTTACACTCCCTGTCCAAGAATGTTCTTCTGAGGTCTCATCCTGGGTTAAAGCTGGAATCGACGCTTTCATCCCCTCTAGGAAATTTAAGGTCAAGTCGCACTCCTCCTCTTGGTTCTCCGCTGCTTGCTCAGCCGCCATTGCCCATAGGAATCACTTCTTTCACATATTTCGTAGCGACATGTCGGACTGCAATAGACGTCTCTTTGCCTCCGCCCGTAACGAGTGTAAGCGTGTCCTCAATGAAGATAAGTCAATATTTGCTGCTCGGATGAAGGAACGTATTGCATCTCGCAAATTTGGCTCCAAAGATTATTGGCGGGTCTGCAAGAGTGTCCTGAACAATAGAAAACCCTCCATACCTCCTTTATTCAACCAGTCCGAGGTCTTGACCTCCTCTACCGACAAGGCTGAATGCTTTATTGGAAATTCTCATTTAATTCAATGTTGGACTCCACCAGTATACCCATACCAGACTTCCCTCCAAGAACTGAGGCCCTATTGAGCAATTTACACATAACCCCGTCATTGGTACTGGGCATTATCTCCAATTTAGATCCCACAAGGCTAGTGGTGGAGATGGCATACCAACCATTGTCTTGAAGAAATGCACGCCTGAGCTAGCACCCGCCCTCTCTAAACTATATAATTACTGCCTCAAGGAATCCTGTTTTCCTGACTGCTGTAAGTCCTCATCCATTGTTCATGTCTTTAAGAACTCTGGAGACCCCTCTGACCCCTCTAATTACCATCCTATTAGTCTCCTACCCCTCTTCGGCAAAGTCTTCAAAGCCCTAATCAATGTTGAAGTGGTTAATCACCTTACATCCCATAATCTGCTCTCAGACAAGCAATATGGTTTCCGCTATGCCCGATCTACAGCTGATGTGCTTACGGCCATCACTGAAACCGTCTACCAAGCCCTTCAAAATAACGGTGAGGCTCGTGCCATGGTCCTAGACATCTCCAAAGCATTCGATAGGGTTTGGCACGCCGGCCTTCTTCGTAAGCTCCAGGGTTATGGTATTACTGGTCGACTGTTTGATCTAATACAATCATTCCTGTCAAACCAAGAATTGAAGGTCATTCTCAACGGATTCTCCTCCAGTTCCTATCCCACGAACGCAGGTGTTCCCCAAGGCTCCATCCTGGGCCCCACTCTTTTGCTTATTTTCATCAATGACCTTCCTGACGCCATAGATTCCCAAGTTGGCATCTACGCAGATGACATTACAATTTACTCCTGCCTCAAAAACAAATCTAGTGTCGGCGACAAATCTAACCTGGACGTGTGTCTTGAAATGGACCTCCAATCGGTTGTTAATTGGGGCAAGAATTGTCTGGTCAACTTTAACGCCTCAAAAACTAAACTACTCTCTATTAACCACCATAGAGATCCTTCCCTGCCCCCTTTAAAATGTCTGATAGTCAACTTCCTGAGAGCAACCCCCTGCATCTGCTCGGTCTCACGCTGACTGCTGACCTGAGATGGAACAAATACATTGAGTCAATTGCTTCTTCCACCGCGAGGAAAGTTTGGCTCTCTGTGCCGCACCAGGAAATCTTTCTCCCCTGAATCGATACTTCAAATATACAAAACAACCATTCGCCCCTTGCATGGAGTATTGCTGCCATATATGGGCTGGAGCACCTTCAGCTTACCTCGGAGTTCTTGACAAGATCCAGAGACGGATATGTAATATAATTGGCCCTGATCTGGCGTCTCGTCTGCAGTCACTCTCTCACAGACGCGCAGTCGCCTCTCTCTGTCTTTTCTACAAATACTTTCATGGTAATTGCTCCGATGAGCTGCTTTCACTGGTTCCCAGACTCCATGAATTCAAGCGCCCTACGAGGCTGGCATCCCGCTCCCACCCTTACACTGTAGAAACTTTTAAATGTAGACGTCTCTTCTACTCCAATAGCTTCATACCTCGCACCTCTAGCCTGTGGAACACCCTTCCCAATTACTGTTTCCCTGAGAGCTATAATCTCCAACTATTCAAATGTAATGTCAATCGACATCTCCAGTTACCTTGATCTACCCACTATCCTTCTCCTCATCCTTTCCTCTATCACTCCTATCTGCTCTCGCTCCAAATCTTCTGCAACCCCTGCATCCTAGTGGCTTCACGCCTTGCTTGGGGCATAATGCTTAAAAAAAAAAAAAAAAAAAAACAAAAGCCACTCCCCACAAAGCTCAAAATCAAATTGCTATGCTCACACTGCTTATAAATAACAATTTTGTCACATACTCAAAAAATGAAAAACAGAATATGTCTTCAGACATTTTGAAATAAATATGAAAAGATGATGAAAAATTGTCAGTTCAACCAATTTTACAAAATCTGAACAAACTGAATCCATTCATGAACTTTTCTGCATGCACTCATAAAACTAAAAAGTCGCATTTACTTATGGATTTATTTTAGCTTTATTATCATTCCAAAAATCATTTTCTAATTTTCAATACTTTTGTCCGAGCATATGAGTAGAAATAAAAAATAGTTGTTAAATTTGTAAATAAAAATAAAAAAACAAACAAGAGCAAATGAAAGAGTTTATTAATTCAGTGCTGGGATTGATTGATGGATGTTTTACTGCTTATCAAAGCATTTGTGGGTTCTTTAAAGCTGAAACATAATTTGGATTACAATAGGCCACTGTTCCCAAGTGGCCAACCATCTTAGTACTACTCAATTTTGATACTACTTAACTTCAGTGATTGAGCAAGAAGCGGTGTTTTCAACATGATTTCATCATTCAGTGCTTAGAACCAATAAATTTAAATGAAAATTTCAATAATTTACATTTCAAAGTTTTTGGTAAATGAACTCTGAAAGCAGAAGTCTTGATGTCATTCATTTTTGAATTCTGCAACAAAAAACATAGAACAGCATTTTGTATCTAATTTGTCAGTGTGGAGTTTGCATTGGAAGTGTTCATAAATTTGCATCTATGGTTCAGATAATCGGATAATAGATATAAACACATTCGCTACAGTGTGGATTGTTGTCATTATAGCTTCACTTGAAGACTGCTCACATTTTAAGGATTGCTAATAATCAAAAGTAAAATAAGTAAAGTACAATTTTCATTTGAGAGAGGTGATAATATTTATTAATAAATGTTCACATTAATCAAAAGAAAAAATAGGCAAATGTATTAATTATTAAGGGGCAGTGCTATTAATATTGGTCCCTACATGTGGCGAATAATAAAAAAATAGGCAAATGTACCAATTTTTAAGGACCAATGGTTATAACATTTATCCCTATATTCTGTCAATAATCAAAAGAAAAAATTAGAAAATGAACCAATTATTAAAGGTCAGTGATAGCAATATTTATCTCTACCTGTGGCCAAGAATGAAAAGAAAAAATAGGCAAATGTACCAATCATTTGGGGACAGTGGTAGCAATATTTTCCCTAAGTGTGATCAATAATGAAAAGAAAAAAATACACAAATATATCATTCATCATGTAATATGAATAGAAAGTCAGGGTTCATCTCTGATGCTTCAGGCATCCCACTGGAGAATGTCAAGGAATTGAGCTCCAATCCATACCCAAACTAGGCTTTGTGCCATATTCAGATCATATCATGTAAATAATATTTGCATCTCTTTGATGAAACCGTTTCATGCAATATTTGTACACACATACAAGAACAGACAGTCAGTTTTATATATTTAACTAGCCGAATTACCTACACCTTGCTGCGTGTCACACATTTTTTGTAAGAAAATTATGATTGATTTTAAATCATTGTTATAATTTGGGGAAAAAATGATGCATTTCAATATTACTCAATGATCTTGCTGATATGACCTCCATCTTCTGGATTTCTCCTATATTTTGTATTGGAGTCATTCCCTTATTCAAATTTAAATTTAATTTCAGTCAAAGGGAAAATAATTTCAGTAGTGGGGTTTATGCTTCCCAGGGATTTATTTTTTGATAAAAATGAAATATTCTTATCCAAGTATCCTGGGTAATGTAGTTTCAAAATATATATGGTTATGTGGGTCTATCTGCAAAACCCTAGGAGGAGTGCGTGCAATAACAAAAAAACAAACAGATAGAAGTTACAACTTTATATATATATATATATATATATATATATATATATAGATGGATAGATATATTAATTTTGAATGTCAAAAGTGGGATATATACACAAACATTGATCAGACGATCTATAAAAGAGCAAAAGAAAAAGTTTTACCTGAGTTTCTGCAGGTGTCTTTTAGTCATTTCTGTCAAACCATTTCTGTTAAGTTCTGTCTTGCGATATTCCTTCTTCAGATTTTGAAAAAGTTCATTTTCCACTTGACTGTCAATGTCAGGGTCGGTGATGTCTGTTCGTGCTGAAAATCCTCGAGGCATGATGCCTATAATTATTCAATGCAAAAATCATGAATAAAAATAAAAATAATGCATGATGAAAGAGATTCAGAATTGAAATTGGTTTCAATACTTTTAATGTCATGGGCAATTATTTCCCTGAAACAGCTTACAAAAAAATAAATAACAATCTTTCTTTCAAAGTAAAAAATTCAATATTTACATTATTTACATTTAAACTAACGTCCTCATCCTTGTTGGTATTATCACAATATTTTGGCCATTGTGCTCTCAAGCCTTCCTCAGGTGTATATTGATCCAGGGAATTTTGAACTGAACCCTTTATTTATTTTTGTGATAACAACAAAGATGAGGACAATAGTCTGAATGTAAATAGTGTAAATAATGATGACTCCTCATCCAAGAAATTCAGGCATAAATTGCAAAATTCGAATCTTAAATTCAAAATACAAAATTTAAATCTTGAGCTCAAAGTACAAAATTCAATATTTACATTATTTACATTCAGATTATTATTCTCACCTTTGTCGCTATTTTCATGTTTCATTTTGGACATTGTAGATCAGTGCTATGGAATCACAAACAAAGAACTATACCAAATAACAGACACCACATCACTTGAGGACTACCAACAGCAGAAACAACTAAAATGGATAGCACATGTAACTTGAAGAGAAATGACATAATCAAGATGTTGACCATCCACACAACTTCAAATAAAAAGTTAGGAAGGAAACCCCCATCAATACTAGAAAGAGTGATAACAGCTACTGGACATGAGAAACCTATTTCCCTGAAAGATCTTTTTAAGAGAATAATTTTTTAAATTTCAACCAAAAGCTATACTGTTGCTCAGTCAATGAATGCCAAATGTTTCCTTGTAAGGAAAATGGTTAATATTACCATTACCATTCTGGAAATTTCATATTAAACCATTATATTATTATTATTATGCAATCACTGTCTATGCAAAGTGGAGATAATGCTGAGTTATGTATCCATTATAAGTGCTTAAAAGGACTCAAATGAGACACTCAAGGCAGAGAGTTTACCAGTTGGCACAAGTCAACTGACTCAATAAATGTTTCAATGCCAGACCCTACCAACTTCCCCATACTCCAGGTTACTTCCCTCAGCCATAAAGATACCTTCTGCCTTGATCCTTTATATTGGAAATAGAGAGAATTTTATTTTGATATATCTTAAGGAGAAAAAAATAACTATTTTTCCTATTGTTTCTAAAATAGGGTTTGTGTTTAATCATTAAACTCTATTACTTCACATCTAAAACTGTATTTCCAACAAGTTTCATATTCAACGAGAATCTGTAATAAATTATGATGTTTGTTCTTTATAAGTAAAATTTATATGAATATTTAAGTAAATATTTAAATTTATCCAGAAAATTATTTGCCATTGTCATGTCTTGCAATTCTAAATGAAACTTTGTTTAACGTTTGCTTAATTCTTGGGAATTATTCTTTCATTTGTCTGTTGTGAACTGTTGAGCTATGGCCACTGCCCTCTTACAAGGATTAGAAAAAAGCTTTACCAACTATTCCCATCAATTACAATTTGCCACATTTCTGACAGTCATCTATAAATTAAATGCATTTCCTTATTACATTAAGCCTTATCATATTTATCACAAGTATATCGAGCAAAGATTAACACCTCTGCACATCTTCCATTTAAATAAATTTTGAATTTTTAAAGTGCTTATTGAATGTGAGTAGGGGTTTATTCTTTGTTTCCTGTTTAGGATATGCTTTACCAATTCATTTCTTCCATGATTTAACCATCCTGGGTATGATGATAAACTACATCCATGTCCTGGGTATGACAATAAACTACATCCAACAGCAAGACTTATGATCAGGAGGTTTTGAGGAGCGTGGAATTGCTTCCAGAACCACCCTGACCCGGGATGGTAGCACCTGTTAGGGTCCCAGCTATGGGCAAATAGCTAATCTCCAAACTGGGGTCAAAACACTATGAATGTGTAAAAATAGGTTTTAATACCAGAAATACTTTGTAAAAACAATTATTACCAGTAATAAATTGTTGAAGAAAGATTATTACAAGCAATACATTTTTTGAAAAAAAAAATATTACTAGCAATAAAAATCTTGTTGGCATTAAATAACCCATTGAGGTTTTGATATGCCATAAAACAAAATGAACCAAATGAATGAACCATGATTTAACTTTTCGATGATCTGTGGCTATGACTTTTCCTTTTGATGATACTTGGTTGGTAGTTTTCTAATTGCTGCATCCTTGACTGATAGCAAGGAACCTGAACCCTTTGGTAATGCTTAGAGAAGCTGCTCTGATCAACAGTCACATAATATCAGGGTATTTATAGTGCCATGTTACATATGACCCTGCCTGTATTTTTAGTGTGCAACCCCTGAGGCCACATAATGCTTTAGACTTAGTCACCTTCAGAACAGTTTGTATTGCTATAGACAATAGACAGTGATAAATATTTTGGCTTTACATAAACTTATTTTTCTGCTGATTATTATTGTACTATAGTCCACAGGAATAATTTTTTTTTCTGGCTGTATGAACATGATAGTTTTGATCACAACAAATACGTTTTTGTGCCCATTCATAATAACTGTAAACAGGTAAATTAACATCCTTTGATGAAGTAGAATTTTTTACTCATAAATTTTCTTGACTCATCTGAAGTATCTTTGCCTGACTTTCCAATTAGAACTCAGTCCATGCTTTCTGCTATCATCTCTAACATGGATCTCCACAAAGTATGTGTACTTGATGGTATCTCTGCAATAGTCCTTAAGAAATGTGGTCTGCAATAAATTCTTTGCTGCTACTTGTTTGTTGGAAATTCTCTTCCTTAGCGCCTGTTTTTAAGAACGCAGATAAACAATCTAATCCTTCTATCAGCCTTTTAACACTTTTTTGTCAAAGTACGAAGGCTTTAATCAATATCAGGATTGGTTAAGCAATTTGATAATGGTCAAATTGGCAGCTCATCTCATATCTGATCTACTATATGTTGTTAACTGCAGCAAGAAATGGCTTTTTAATTTTAATGTCCCCAAAATGAAACTGCTCTTTTTTAATCATCTTAGTGATTTTTTTTGCCTTCAATCAACAAGGCTGATTCTAATCTCCAGAAGAATACGTCATAGTGCCTTATCATAAAATAATCAGGCTAATGTCTTCAGCTGACATAAAGTGGAAAGATTATTTTGAATCACTTGCTAGGTCTGCTGTTAGGAAAGCTGCTTCCTTGTGTTTTGCTAAACAGTTTATCTTGGTCCTGACATCTCAGCTTTAGTCACTTTCCCACCTTTTGATAATGTCACTTCTCTGTGGCCTTTTCATAAATATTTTCATGGTAATTGTTCTGATGAGCTTTCCTCTTTGGTACCTTGACTTTATGAATTTAAACACAGTACTAGATTGGTAGTTATGTCTCCTTGTCTTAAAGTTGAAGTGACTAGATGTAACCGTAGGTTTTACTTTAAGTTTCTTATCTCACACTTCTCATTTGTGGAACTCTCTTTTGGCCTCTTTCTTTCCAATCAAATTTGCCCTTCAAATATTTAAATGCAATGTCAATCGTTATCTTTTGTTTTCTTAAGTTCTTTTATTGTTCTTTCTCCTTAATAATATTTTTCTTATATTCTTTTCACTCTCACTAATCCCACTTGCATCAGAGTGACTTTGTCTTATTTGGGGTAAAATTATTAAAAAAAAAAAAAAAGAAGCATACACAAAGATGTAAATTGAGAATGGCACATAGGTAGGGGGCATTGGCCTGTTATTTCTATTCTTATTGGGTAAAAGCAACCCACCCCAACTTATCCCTCTCTCTCTCTCTCTCTCTCTCTTGGATAATAGCAACACTCACTCACTCTCTACTCTCTCAGGTAGAAGTAAAGTTCCTCTACACCCACTCTATCTTGGGGAACAGCAACCCTCCCCAATTATCTCTCTCTCTCTCTCTCTCTCTGAAGCTGTTCAAAAAGCAATAGTTTGGCTTAAATCTAAGTCTTTGTGAAATGATCTGACTTAGTTCAGAAAAAAATTATTTCTTTTTCTTTCTTGTCATCAAAGATTTAATGTTAACCCATTCAAAGGAATTTGTTGTCTTTGCATCAAACATGATATGCAGTTGAACCATTCCTCAAGGCACAAGATGGGGGTCGGGTCTGATGCAGAGACAGCAACTCTGACAAGCCAACCACCAACAAACTGTAGCCATCATTAAAGATTTACTCTATTTTTTACATTAAGAATAAGAATTCACTCTCATGACTACAAAAATACTGATTTGATGATCTATTTAATATTCACATTAATCAATTCATATTAACACAGAAATAAATATTGATTTACTCTCTGACAAAAGAAAAGCATTCAATGGCAATTAATGTAGAGAGAAATTATTAAGAAGAAGAAGAAAAATGGGTGTCTGAGGAAAAGAAAGAGCTGAAAAAAAGAATGAATGAAGAAAAAGAAGCAAGTTGAAGAAGAGCTGAAAAAAAAAGAAAGAATGAGAGGGAATGAAAAATAAAAGAAAGAAGAACAGAGGAAATGATAAATGGAAAGAATGAGAAAAAAAGACGAAGCAAAAGAAAGAGACAAAAAAGAAGGAAAGAAAAAAAGAAATGTGTTTGTCTGGTAGGAAGAATTATTTATTCATTCAAATGTTTCAATGAAAATTGATATTGTTTTGCTAAATTTGCAATTTATAGACGCAGGAATTTTAGCATGAAGTTCAGGAGCATTCCAAAGAGAAGTAGTCTTGAGAGAATCATAAACATTTTGAGGATTTTCTGCTCTGATCACAAAACTGATTAGTGTCAAGAGATTTGAATTCTCAGTAGATTAATGGCTTGTTGAATCTTGAAAACGGCAATGCCAGATGTTGGCCAAGTTTGGGAATATTGCTTCCAGTCAGCCAACTATCGATGTTTGTACATTTGATCCTCTGCCTGGTTTTGTGTGCATTGGAAAAAGTTATTAGTTTTGGAACTGGTGG